TAAAGGGGGGAAAGGCATTAAGCAGTGTGAAAGAACAAGCCTCACCTTCTTGGGAGCTACCACTGAAAAGACCTTGTCCCAATGAAGCATCATTCTGAGACTGCCACTAAGACTCTCAATAACTAGGCAGGTTCATACAAAGAACAGTCCTTGTTATCCCAGTTGCAACCCAAAAATGCCATAAAAGATCTTCACCTTGTTTCACAGGTCTGGAAACAAATAAGAAGACGTTTTGTTTCAGTGAGGAAGCTGAACACCCCTGGACATTCAGGGGAACCTGCACACCACTGGCAATGACACTGTGCTAGTGTCAGTACTTGTGCAGCATCACTTAAGTTTGCCAGGGCATTTTCCCGCATGGTCTTGGCAAGCACTGGCTGCATTTGGCAAGGGCTGGTTTATGTTTACACCATCCTTCACCCTTGCATGACCAAGACATCAGGAAAGCAGCAGGCTGGGGTAGCCTGCACCTGAACAGATTCATTCAGGGCCTCTCTCCACTGTTGTGTTGCTTTTTGTCATTGCTGCCAATTTCTCCAATCACCAAGGGACTAGCTGAGCCTGAAGGGCAGGGAAAGATTATTCAGGAATATTCTGCTGCCTAGGTCATTTCCTGCTTGAGGAGATCAAGAGGACTAACAGCTTGAGTGGCAGGAAAATTCCCAAGGGCCATCAAAATATCTTTTGTGTCCAAAATTCTTTGGGGAGTAGACCACCATAATCTCTCTGGGAGAATTGGAGGCTTTTTGTTTTCTGTTTCCTGAGTTTGAGTTTGTGTGCAGTTGTGCATATTTGCAGTTCTGAAAATATGTATATCCCCCACATTGCATGTTTTCATGTTTTAGTTTATGGAGGAAAATCTATCTTTTCAGTCAGGTTATTTTTTAATATTTCATAAGCTGGACATGCACATGGTAGGCATGTCATGAGCAGAGGTGGCTGGAGCTGGGGTCGGATGGGATGGCCCAGGAGGCCCCTTCTGACTCGCTCTTTTTCTATGTTTCTATATTTTCTATGACAAAATGTTAATAAAGTTCTGGAGAATGCAAAACAGGAAGAAAGGACAACCCAAATAACAAGCGAATGAACAAATGAATGGACAGACAGACACTGCTCTGTAAGTCTGCAGAATCTGCGCAACTTGGGAAAAACAACTCCACGGAGGAATCTGCAGGTCAGATTCAGCACTCATAGTCCATTGCTGAGTTCTCTAATATCCCTAGCCATTAGTTCAGGGGGTATTTCCTTGAGTCCAGCCATGGCCTCAGTCAAGGCAGCAGCAGCAACACACACAAATTTCCACAAATACACATAAATGCTTCTGCACAAATTCCGAGTCCAAACATAAGTAGGCAGTGCAGGAGGAGTGGCCACTAAATCTTCAGCTCAGTAGAGGAGCAGCTTCTTCATTCATCCCTACATACATTTGCAAAATCATTTGCCTGGGTAGGATCTGCATGTTCAACCTGATGCATTACAGAGACACCGATCTACAGTGCATTTAACAGCTGGATGTAATGTGGGAGAGTCATGATCAGATCTGCTGATTTCCAAACCACCTTAATGCAAAGAGTCTTGTATTTTGACTGAAGTGGTGATTGACAGGAGAGGGTCAGGAATCCACTCCTCCTATGCCCTTTTCCCAGTGGAAATTATTCCTCCGTTAGGAATTTGCCCTGTAAAGGAATGCCTTTCTGGGCACTCAGACTGAACACTTGTGAACCTTAAATTTCTTGCTAGGGCATATGAGACTGGAAACCCCCATTCCATGCAGGAACCCAAGGAGTGTCTAATGCCAGCTGCCTCTTTCTTGTGCACCAAGGTACATGGCCAAGCCTTGGGGCAGGGGAAGGTGTCAACTGAAGGATCATGACGAATGTGGGTTTCACTCTCCTTGATCCTGTTCATGAGCATTTGAACATAAGCAGGGTGATTCCTGGACTGACAAGAATGTGTTCGATAGCAAGGGTACAGTGGAAAAGCATGCATGAAAAAAAGGCATACTTTGAAAACTGCACAAAAATACATCTTAATCGAAGGGAAAATACATGCATTTCAAAGATGCACAGTATTGTGTATACACTTAAAAAGTATGCACGAAAATACATCTGGATTTTCCAGCAAAAGAAAAGATTAAAAATGTGAAGCTTATACTCTGATGCAAGTCAAAATTGGAATGAGCTTTGAGGTGGAATTTGGAGAACTGTGGCAAGTTGAGTTCTGCTAAGTTACATATCCCCCAAGCTCATGGCATCTGCTACTAGCTTTGCTGATATTAGACTTATAGCAGAAAGTGGAGAGAGGAGAGCTTGTATCATTGTTGATGTCTTCTACCTCATGTTGTCACTAGTTCACTAGGGAGTAATTTAGTCTGGAAAAAGCAGAAGGGGAAGATCTAAGCAGCCTTCTCTTGCACTGCCTCCTGGACTTACAATCATACATACATTAAATATCTTTTAGCACAGTCTCCATTAACCTGGTACTCCACAGATGTTCTGCACTAAGACCTCATCCACCGTAGTCAGTATAGACAAATTGACAGTAATGATGGGAGATGATATCTGAACTATCTGGAAGGCACCAGGTTGTGGCTGACTGCTTTAAAGTCATAGCTGCACTAGATCACTTGGTTTTAGGTCATCCCTCTTGGCACCATGGTGTGGGTGGGGCCATGCATTTCCATCCATATTGCTCCATGCACATTTTTAGCACATGAGCAAAGGCTCACTCCAGACTAAGTTTGTCTACTCTGAAATCAACAGAATGTCATGTGCAACTAGTTCGGAGCCCACATTCAGCTGGTTTAGTTTGGATTCAACTCTGTACCTGGATAGGGGTCTGGGTGATTTGCTGCACATGAGCACTCAACAGACTTTGGGTATTAATGCCTATTGGTTGCAGGCCTACATAGTTCTGAAAATTAGCACTTTATGTTTTCCATGTACTTCACTTATGTTCTTGTTTCATTTATTTACTTATTTAACTCATTTTTACACCATACAGTAGCTGGGGCGCTCTTTTAAAAGCTATACAATTTCTTATTATCCTCTCCCCACCCCCAATTCCCTGTTTAACATGTTGTTGTTGTCATCGTTGTTTTTAACAACAGTGTCTTCAGCTCAAACTGTGTTCAAAAATCCCCTTCCTCTATTCACACAGCTTCTTGTTTCCAGAACTGCCGCTACTGAAGCGAAGGAGATGTCCTAGTCATGAAAAAGAAAATTGGATTGCTAAAATAATTCCATCTGCTATTTTTGAGTACCCATATGGACAAAATCAAAAGCAGCCAAAATAATGTAATATCTCAATAATGTACAAAAGTGTCTGTGGCTCTTTAACAGAAACAAGAAAGAGAGAGAGAGAGAGGCAGACAGAAGGGGAGGAGGTGTGGGCTAGCCCTTGCCCCTCTTTCTCATTTTCGCTGAAGTGTGGACATTCACAGCAGGCTACAGAGCAAAGAAAGAGACTGTTAACATGTGCACATGTTGGGGAGAGATGCTCAATCCATAACACATCATTGCTGAGATTCCCTATTTCTGCCCCTGAAAGGACTGACATGGGCTACTTGCCTTGTCCATCTTCGTGCGGGTTTGCAGTTGTTGCAACTTAAATAGGCATCCTGAGTTAAACTGGGTTTCCCAACGACGACGATCTCTTTTCCTGCACGGGAAGATCCAGTGCCGTGAATCAATGAACACTTCACGTTTACTCTCATTACTAGGCAGTTGGTGATTTGACAGCATGGTAGCTTTGAGCTGATCCGTCTTATCCCTCGGAGGGCTTCGAGGATGCTGTGACCGCAACGCTTTGGGCAAGCGGCTGCTGTGATCTGCTGCATGTCTGTGGAGTGAGTTGCGATGCTCAGGTTTTGCTCTTGCTTTTCCCTGGCCATGCAAAGTTGGGACACTGCTTTTGTCATCAATTCAGATTGAATATGTGCAGCTGTGAAAACTCTATAAAACCAAAGGTAAGCAATATATGTCATCTTTATTTGAGGACAGGAGGGGGAAATTAGACCAATGTAGATCAGTTTGTGGCAGTGGAAGTGGTTACCGGTGGGATAATATAAGTAGTGAGCAAGCATTGCAGCCCTAATTACCTTGATATGCACCCCTTTCTTTGTACCCCTTTCACACTTGCTCAGTTTGACCCTTAGGGGTTGCCTCTTGCAAAAGATGACTTAAGCTGCACTAAGCACTGAGTCAGTGCAACTTCACTTCCCCAACACAGTCCTTCGTTCAGCTATACCCAGATCGGACTTCTAACGAGTAATAAAATGACAAAGAGCAAAGTGGAAAATTCAAGTCCATCAAATTTATTTTGGTATAAGCTTTTGGGCACTTCATCTGAAGCATCTGATGCATTTTGGGGGCTATAGTCCTCTTTATACCAGAATTAGGATGCCGTGTAACTCTTGGCTGCTTTTGCTGGAACAGGTTAACTTGGCCATTCCTCTGGAAATTGTTTAAAAGAGTTGGAGGTGGTAGGACAGAACCACACATATTTTTATTATGGTCTTAATGTGGTGTTTTCTCAAGAAGATACAACATTAGGAAAAAATCTTTAGTTTTCTTCTGTGCTCATGCCAACTGTAGAATTGTTGGTGTGATGAAAAACCCTGATTTTTCCCATTTTGCTCTCCTTCTGGTGCAAGCTCCTCAGCTGGGCGGGGAGGGGGGCAGATTTCTTTCCCGGCTGTCAGTGTCTGTATTGTCACCTGGCACAAGCGCTTTGAAAACAACATCGAGCCAATGAAACAGATTCAGAGACGGACTTACCTGTGTGGTAGCTGTGTGGGTCTGTGTGTGTATATCTTTGAAGGTCTCTTTGTGTGTCTGGCCAGCAAATTCCTGGACAAAAAGGGACAGCTGTCTGTGGGATATAAAAATCACACAAAGACACTCCATTTTATGCTTGCTTCACCATGATGAACTTTTCCTAGGGAAACAAGGAAAGCATGTGCTGACCAGGAGCTGGCGGGCAGAAGCAGCCAGGTGAAGATGGAGAACAGTACAAGCGACGGGCAGAACAGAACAGAATTCCTGCCAGACCGGGAGGTGGTTGCCATAGAATACCAAGTGGTCACCATCTTCTTGGTTCTCCTCATCTGCGGTTTAGGTATTGTGGGCAACATCATGGTGGTGCTGGTGGTGCTCAGGACGAAGCACATGAGGACCCCCACCAATTGTTATCTGGTGAGCCTTGCAGTAGCTGACCTCATGGTCCTTGTGGCTGCTGGCCTTCCCAACATCACAGAGAGCATCTATGGATCCTGGGTCTACGGCTACATCGGATGCCTCTGCATTACTTATCTCCAATATCTTGGCATCAATGCGTCTTCTTGCTCTATTACTGCATTCACCATCGAGAGGTACATAGCCATTTGCCATCCCATTAAGGCCCAGTTCTTATGCACTTTCTCCAGAGCCAAGAAGATCATTATTTTTGTCTGGGCATTCACCTCCATCTACTGCATGCTCTGGTTTTTCTTATTAGATCTCAACAGAGTCACCTACAAGGACACCACAGTAGTGACCTGTGGATATAAAGTGCCCAGGAGCTACTATTCGCCAATCTATATGATGGACTTTGGGATATTTTATGTCATGCCCATGATATTGGCTACTGTTCTGTACGGGCTGATTGCCAGGATACTCTTCCTGAATCCCATCTCATCAGACTCAAAAGAAAGCTCAGCTACATGGAAGAATGATTCGGCTCCCTTAAACAAGGCCAAAGTAACCAACAAGAGTATCAATGGTGCCGTGGCTTCTAGAAGGCAGGTAGGAAAACTGCCTCTCAATTTTATTTTTATTTTTTTGGAGACTAAGGTCGTGTCTGCACTAGGAGTTTCCTGCTGGTTTGAAAGAAATGGGACCTCCAAGGTCAGGGGCACTCTACCTCTGTGTACTAGTGCTGGGGACAAACGAGGGGTGTTGCGGATCTCATGCCCTGTTTGGGAACTTTCCAGAGACATTTCGCCATTGTTGAAATTCTGGGCTAGATGGACACCGTTCTAATCCATGAAAGTAGTTTTTATTTTCCTGCGAACGATTCCATCATCTGCGTATGCATGTGCTCACCCACAGGTTTTTCTGCAACTGCAGTCAAGGTTGGATATGGTGACAACCTAGTAAATTGTCTTATTCTAAATCAGTATATTCCTCCATTGAGATCAGTATTGTCAACACTGGCTGGCAGTGGATATCTAGGACAAGGGTGGGCAAGTCAGCCATCACGATGTTTGGCTTACACTTCCCATAATCCCTCTCTATTAGCTATGCTTGCTGGAGCTGATGGGAGCTGTAGGCTAAAACATCTGGAGATCTACAAGTAGCCCGCCTTTTCTCTAAGCAGGAACTTTCCTAATCCTACCTGGGTATGTCAGGTACCTTTTGCATGCAACCTGGACCTTTTCAGCCATGCCCCCTTATGGCATGTGGCAGCCAGGAGTTGCGTATGGATTGGATTGCCATATTATTCCTGTTCAAACAGAATCTCCAGCCTGGGTCTCTTCAGATGGGTTGGCCTAGAACTCCCAGCATTCCCCAGTTAGCCGTGGCTGCTAGGAGCTATAGTTCAACCTATCTGAAAATGCCAGGTTGCAGAAAGTTGGTCTAACTGGTGCAGGAAAGCTGAAGCAACAACCTGTGAATAATACACTCAGCATCATTTCTTGTACAACATTCTTGTCTTGTTCCAAGTATGTATGGAACTAAGATGTATTGGCATTTTTGCTAAGGCAAGTGGAAAAGAGAGCACCTTACTTAAAAATCAAGGCAAAGCATTCAAGAATGATTTGTGCTGCAATTCCTCACAGTTTAGCAGCTTAATCACCCTTGACTCGAACGGGATGTAAGTGTCTGGACTTCATGTATGGCTATTTATCCAGAAGGTATGGAAAGAATTATGAGTATAACCCACATTTATACTCCCATCACACACCCAAATAGATCAGTATACTGATGGACAGGGAATACGGAAAGAGGCATTGTATGAACGAGGGCAAAATCCTCAGGTATTCATCAGATCAGAAGGTCCTCCCTGTGATATCTCTTCTTGCCGTCTGTCAAGAAAGCATAGACCAGGGGGCTTGTGCAAAGGCTAGGATTAAAGCCTTCTTGAATAGGTTCTGCCCAGGTGTGAGTGCTGGAAGTTGTAAGACTTTTTAAAAATCCAAATTGCATAGGTCTGTGCTTTAATGCGGTCAGGTAATTTCAGAATTTGGACTTCAGATCTAAGGAGGGGGAGGCACTCTTTAGATGTCACTGTGCATTGTTTCCCTTACTTCATGCTGTGGTGTTTGGGGTCCTGATTGCTCATTCTGCTGCATGGGACCCTGGACATCTGCCCCAAAGTCCTCCCCTAATGGCACTGCTGTTCTGGATGGCCAGTTTGCCCCCAGATATAGACCCAGCTAGTCTCAAGCACCTCTTGGATGGGCTGCAGGCAGCTCCTTACAGAGTATCCGAGTGACAAACCTGTGTTGTTGCCCCATAATGTGTGAAACAACCCTTAGGAAGCCAAGCAAATGTTGGCAATAAAGCAAGCAGAGAAATAAACTCTCCAGGAAAGAAATGACTCTACTTATTGGGCAAATTTTGATTGTTCAGTGAAATGCCTAAGGGATCAACTCAGTTTTCTCTTACGATGTGGCAATCTGGTTTCTTGCTTCAGAACATGGGAGCTGACAGAGGAGAAGACTATCCATGGCTTGTACCTTTGGCGGCTATATGTTACCTCCAGTATCAGAGGCAGCATGCCCAGGCTGCTGGGGAACATGGGTAGGGGGCTCTTGTTGCACTCATGTCCTGCTTATGGGTTCTCCATGAGCAGCTAGAGAGACTATCAATCCGATCGAGCAGTGCTTTTGTCGTTCTCTTAACAAGGAGATTCTGCTGCTAGTCAGCATTTGCTGGGATTTCTGGAATTCGATCAACGTGGTCTTGTTTGAAGATCACAGTGTCATCATGATTTAACACTTCTGCGAAGTACCCATTTCAAACTAGGCAATTTTACAAACTTTACAATATGCCCTTAACATTTTTGTTGCAAAGTAATTATGATACAATATTTAAGGAAGTGGAAAAACTAGAAGGTAAATGATATAGCCTTATCAAAGCAAAACAACAGCAAAAAACCTTGGGTAAATATATGAAAGCATCAGTTGGTGTTTGATGTCAGCTGGATATTCTGTGACTTGTATTACAAAGTCTTACCTTCGCCTGGTGTAAAATTAATAAGAAAAAATTCAAAGTATTTCTTGTCATGCTTTCTGGCTGTCATTGCCATCTTGAGCATGTATCATGAGCAATACCTTAAGTAACTGAGTAAGTGCAGCTATGTCAGACATCTGACATTCCACTGCACAACTGATTAGAGTAACAGAGGACCATGTTATTCCTCTCCTATTAGTAGAACTCACGGTCATTCAGTGAAATCTGATACATGATTCATTTGATGAAATTCGTCCTATTATTTGTTTGTGGAAACCACTTGCCATCAGATGCAGAGATGCCCATTGACTTGGGTGGATTTCAGAGTGGTTTATGAAATTCATGGAGGACACCAGTATTTCCATGAGGGCCATATGGACAACCTCACAGGCTGGTACGTATCAGAGAGGACTAACTTTATTTTATTATTTCTCAGTTACATTTATATCCTGCCTTTCCTCTGAAAATTGGCATGCATAAGTCTGCTCCTCTTTTGTATTTCATCCCCACAATGACCCTGTGAGGTAGATTAAGCTGAGAATCAGTGGCAAGACTAGTTCACTCAGTGTGCTTCACAGCCAAGTGGCGACTACAGCCAGATCTCCCAAGTCCCAGTCCAACGCCATAACTACTATGCTGCCTTCAGGCCCTGCTGGTCCTGTTATCTCCAGATATGGAGATGCCTGGAGAGTCTGTCTCTGGTCTTAGATTGGGGATAACGCACAGGTGTGGACAACAGGCACTCAATCAGCACTGGGAAGACCAACCAGTCATACCAGCCACAGCCAAGCTTCATCCTGTGGTGTATGTCAGCCCCACAGGGATATGTGGCATTGTGCAAAAGCAGCAGGAGGAGCAGCTGCTTCTCTCAATAATGGCGGAATCCCTTTCTTTGTACTGAGACATCACAAGCCTCTCTCTATATGGAGATAACATGGAATGGCCGGGGAGTGTCCTGCTGGCATCAGTGAGTGTGGCTATGCACACCAGCGTCCTCTGGCCCATGGTAGGTCTGGTGGGGGGCAATCCACCCCCAGGATTCTACAGCCAAGTGATAGAAATGTGGTTCTATCTTTCTGCTGAACTCCTTTGCTTATAAAAGATGATCAAAATTACTTAAACGACAACCAAAAGTATGGGTTGAGTATGGGTTGCTATTGAACCATGAACTACTGTTGAATCATGGATTGCTGTCGTGTGTAAACCCTGCACAGAGGTTCAATTATGGATTGTTAGTGGTTAACAACTCTGAGTTAAACCATCCTACAGAGTTTGCATGTAGCAACAACCTGCAGTTATAAAACAACCCATGATTCAATGGCAACCCATTGTCAATCCATACTCTTGGACTGCTGTCGTATGTGAACCTGGACAGAATTTACAAAATAGTCTGCTGCAGCTGCTACAGTGCTCTGAGGTTTGAAACAGCCTTAGGCTGCACTTGCAGGACCAGGTTTTCTGCTTTAAACATGATTACTGCATACCTCCCATATGAATGTGTTTTATAGTGCATTCTTCTATTATACAGCATGTTGTCTGGGCTGACAGAAGAAGAGGTGCTAACAGGGTACATCATTTCATTAATGCCTTTGAAATCAATTATGTCTTCCTAATGTATAGCTCTGTTTTGTCAGAGAGGGTTCTTAACTGGAGCCTCATATTCGTGACTCAAAGCCCAAGACATTTTTAAAATTTAACATACAATGAAGATAAATTGAATCCTTTTCTTCTTGGAATCTGTATAGATGAGTGTTGGTGTCTGGCCCTACTTTGTCAAAGATTAGGGCCTAACAACCCCAGATTCCTGGGCTCTAAGCTTTGTGGAAACACAAAGAGATACAGATATGAAGAGATAGCAAGTAAGAAGACTACAACAATGGTGCATTGCTCAGAAAAATGAGGATTTGTTGAATGTCACTTGCACAGTGTATAAATAAAAAAATTGCAAATGCAGATGAAGAAATGCACATGCTAGTTGCAAATTAATGTAGTAGTTATATTGTTCCTGTTGCCTTTCACAAGACTGGAGTTGCATCTTTCCTTTAATCAGCAAGAGATGCAGTATCACTGGGGTTTCTTTCTTCAGGGCTGGCCTGCTGTTGGGCATATGGCTTCCTCAGGAAGGTCCATGAGGTCCAGAAGTGGAAAAGCTGTGAATGTTATGCAGCATGTCTGTGCTCCCTAAGATAGCCTCTTGCCATCAGTAGAGGACATGGTGCCACCATCATTCTTGTAGTAAACCAGCTCAGATAAGAGCCTCATGAATCTGCTGTTCTTCTCAGCACTGTGGGACAGGGATGGTGTAGATTGATCACCATCTTCATCGGGATGGTTAAGATGGGGCCCTTCCTCTTTATAAGGAGCTCTTCCTTTCAGGGACCATGCTGAAAAGCATGTGGGGCTGCAGAACCAGCTACAAAGCCACCCAGTTCATGCCCAGCGCTTGCACCTTACCTTTCTGGCTTTCAGCAATGCCTTTGCAGGACAGCTCCCTGCTATCTTGAATAGGATGTGTGTCAAATTTCCATGGAATCGACCATTCTGACATTCGTAGACTTCCTCTTATG